TTACCAAATTGTTCCAAAAATTCCAAATAACATATTGATGTAACCAATTTCGGTTTCGGATGCAAATAAGGCTTTAATTTTCAGATCAAAGCAGAATTCCAGATAAATATTTCTACGAGTAATAAATAGAAAGTCAAATAGCATGTAAAACACACAATGAACACATAATTTTATTTTAACCTTTTAATCCTTAATTATTGATTAAGAGCATATTACGGATTGGGGTTATTATAGAGAAACAATAAACAAAGCATTTGAAAAGTGAGAGAAAAGAGAGCTAAAAAGTTTATTAGGATAGCGGTGGCTAAGCGTGTACCAAAGACATGTTTTTGGAAGGATAGAAAGCTTGAGCGGTATCACCGAGCTGCGATTGGTATGGGAGACAAAAGAGATCCAAAGCTTCGAGAGAGAGATTAGAGAGCTGAAACCAAATAGCGAAGCGTAGATCTCGACGGAGACAACGTAGATCTCCAAGAGAACTCAAACGCTGGTGAGGAGGCGAATGACAGATTCTGTCACGACCTCATTCTGCCCCTAGTAGAATGGTGCCATGATGGCTAGTAATCCGAGATTACCAAAGGCCAACTTACAAAGTCACACACAATCAGAGTATACATATGGGGCCTACATGTGCGGAAGCAATATATTTAAATCTAAGTAGTCCATAAGAGCTGTGCATAGATCAAATGAAATGACATACATCTTAACATGGTTTTATAACTTGGATACAAATAAAATAAAGTACATATTACATCTTGATCAAAAGGCTTCTCAAGCCAACATATACAAAAGAAGTGAATTAAAACTAAGAAACATAATCTTCAAGAGGTTAGCAAAATGAATCCAAAACAACTAGCAAATAACATCTAGGCGTCACCGCCTTCTTGCTCACCACCTACATATATATAAAGGGGAGGGTGAGCTTGGATACTCAGTGAATGATATAATTAATAAACATTTGAATGAATGATATCCAAGATCTTTATCAAAACGATACATATCATAGCTTGTAACAAAACATGGGATGAATCAAGTTCATCAATCAAATCTTTCAAATCTTCTTGGGATGTTTAATAACATCTACATAATACATTGGGGATGACATTCCGGACAAACCCACGCGGTAAACCGTCAGTGGCAAGACAAAGGAGATATCTCAAACAAACGCGCTAGTTGCATTATAGTCCCCTAGCACTAAGGACTTTCCAAGAATGTCATCAAAACGAACATAATACTTGATACAAAAATTAGGGATAATCATTCGTGCTTGATCAAATACTTTTTCCAAAACGAAGCAAAGCTTTATCAAAACTTTATAACATAGTTTTATTAAAAATACCACTCACATAGCTCTTCGGGTGTAGGGATTAAGGCAAGGATCCAAGACCTACAAATACATAATAAAGTCTACTGAATGCACTTCAAGAAGACAAGAAGAGATGCTCAAAGATGGATATGAAATGTATTCTTAAAACAAGCTTTTCATGAGTGCAAATGATCCCGGCATTTCTTTCCAAAACTAAGTCAAGACAAAGTAAAACATGCTGGGAGTTAAATCACTGTTTTTCATCTAGGGAAAACATGTTGGGTGTAAAAACACTGTTTTTCATCTAGGGAAAACATGCTAGGTACCAACCAGGTCTTGGAATGGATGCACAGAGATGATCTAGGCAAAAATGACCTAGCTGGGTGAACTTAAGAGGTCTTGGCTGAGGTCCCACACCTCTTGGCCGAGGTGTGGTACCTAGGCTTCGGTGTCCAGCTGCCTGCCGAGGTGTTACAAGGTGCCGACAAGGGTGTACCATGGTCGGCCTAGGTGTGAAGTAGTTAGCCTAGGTGTGCATGCAAGATAGACTAATGGTGTAAGTGATCATGCAAGGTAGGCCAAGGTGAGATACAATGCTTGGCCTAGGTGTGAGATCTAGGCAGGAGTGGTCTCGGTGACCATACCTAGGGAAAGGTAAAGTCTGGAAATCTGGGTTTCCCCTTGAAGAACATGAATGCTAAATTCATAACTTTTATTCCAAAATCTGAGATTTCATGAGATGAGTTTGAAAACATGGACCTGGGTACCCATACTTAAAGATCTTATGAAAACAAACACAAAAACATGGATCTTGATACAAACTTTCGGATCAAAACATGGTTTTATTTCAAGAACACAAGAACATTATTTTCTCTTTCTAAAACAAGCTTTAAATCAATGCATGGCTCATGAATCGTGCTAGATCATGCAATGTGATTGAATAAACATAAAGAACAACAATAGTAGATCAAGAATCTAACTTCAAAACACAAATCTAACGGTTCAAACTCTAAGGATCAAGCTTGGATTCTAGCTCTCTCACTCTAAGAACTTCTCTTCCTCTTCCTAGAGCTTATCTTTCTTCAAAGGCAAAGATATGACAAAATGATATGTTTTCTCTCTCTGCTGGGACACGTGGCAACGGCTGGTTGGCTCTCCTAAAAAAGGTGACTGACTGACAAGACAAGAGCATGACAAAGGGTGTACAACAAGTAAGGTGACATGGGCACTCCGATAGGTAATGATCTCGGATTAGGACATAGGCTTCGACAAGTGGGTTTCAGTGATCTCGGCTAGGAAGGATAACGTTTGACCTAGTTGTGCCATACCTCGGCCTAGATGTGCCACACCTCGGTCTAGGTCATACCAATCCAGGAACAAGATCACTAAGTGCAAGAATCAAAGATCTAGGACGCCTAGATGATAACATCTCAGCCTAGATGATACACATCTCGGTCTAAGTGATGCACACCTCGGCCTAGATGATAACATCTTGGCCAATATGCCAGGGTGAATGTGGAGGTAAACCAAAGTGGTTCCAAGATGGTCCTAGGTGTAAGAGGTTCAAAGATCTGACCTAGACTTGGCATGACCTAGGCTTAACATGACCTTGGCTTGGCGTGACCTAGGCTTAACATGACCTAGGCTTAAGACAGCAAGGAAGGAACAAAGCATGCACATAACACTTAGGCAAACACACGATAGCATCAATATAAGACAAGAACCTTTACCTAGGCAAAACAAGTAAAAGTCTACATGTACAAACTTAACAAGGCAAAATTATATAAATGCTCACGAACATGACTAAGACAAGAATGTGGGTTATTACAGATTCATCAGTGGGAGGTAAGGCGATGGCGGAAGGCGGCTAAGATTGCAGAGATGTGTGTGTGTGTGTGTGTGTGTGTGTGTGTGTGAAAGAGAGAGAGAGAGAGAGAGGAGTTGGATGGGTTTGGTTTGGAAAAGAATATATCTATATATAATATGGGTAGTTTGGTCATTTGGCAGAAGTGTGTCCTTATGGACAAAGAAATTGGCACCTTGACCTTAGACAAAGAAAACTTAATTTTGAACTTTTAGCCCGAATGCCTTACAATATTTTCATAATAGTTAGAGTCCCACAATATTTTCACAGATAAGCCTAGATGATACACATCTCGGTCTAAGTGATGCACACCTCGGCCTAGATGATAACATCTTGGCCAATATGCCAGGGTGAATGTGGAGGTTAACCAAAGTGGTTCCAAGATAGTCCTAGGTGTAAGAGGTTCAAAGATCTGACCTAGACTTGGCATGACCTAGGCTTAACATGACCTTGGCTTGGCATGACCTAGGCTTAACATGACCTAGGCTTAAGACAGCAAGGAAGGAACAAAGCATGCACATAACACTTAGGCAAACACACGATAGCATCAATATAAGACAAGAACCTTTACCTAGGCAAAACAAGTAAAAGTCTACATGTACAAACTTAACAGGGCAAAATTATATAAATGCTCACGAACATGACTAAGACAAGAATGTGGGTTATTACAGATTCATCAGTGGGAGGTAAGGCGATGGCGGAAGGCGGCTAAGATTGCAGAGATGTGTGTGTGTGTGTGTGTGTGTGTGTGTGTGTGAAAGAGAGAGAGAGAGAGAGAGGAGTTGGATGGGTTTGGTTTGGTTTGGTTTGGAAAAGAATATATCTATATATAATATGGGTAGTTTGGTCATTTGGCAGAAGTGTGTCCTTATCGACAAAGAAATTGGCACCTTGACCTTAGACAAAGAAAACTTAATTTTGAACTTTTAGCCCGAATGCCTTACAATATTTTCATAATAGTTAGAGTCCCACAATATTTTCACAGATAAAATTAGACACAGAGAAATTTCGTCTCGATATAGAAACATTTCAATTTTCACAGAGAAATTTCATCGAGAGACTTTAATTTATTAAAAAAAACATATTGAATCTCTTATACTATCCAAAGTTGGAAATGGATATTTCACTATTTTTTCCTTAAATCTTATACTTTCATCTCTTGTAATTATTTTGAGTTTATATCAATTTTTTATAATGCCTTTATTATTATGATTATTATATAAGAATTAATAGAAGAGAAATAGAAGAAGGAGAAAAAAAGCCCCATCACATTCGGCCCATCCACCAAGCAACCCTGGTTCTCCAAAACTCTTTTAAGCTCAGTCCATTACAAATGACAAACGCCTGTAGGCCCATGGGCCAAGTCGAAAGAGAACACTATGCAACTGCACGAACTGCTGAGAGTGAAACAGTATGGGTTGCCAGCTTTACAACCTACTAAAAGCAAGTGGAACAACCAGATATTAAGGTCAAGTTTGGCAACTTAAAAATAATCTATATTTTTATCTTTTTATCTTTTTTTATCATGTCATCTCTCTATTTTTCTGTATATCTTTTCATAAAAAGATAAAAAGTACATTTATTTAGGTCATCTCAAACAATCCTTAAAATTATTGATAAATTATTTAATATTTTCAAAATACCACTTATTTAATATATTTTTACATATTTTTTAATTATTTAACATAATATTTTATTTATACATCTTCTCTACTAATCATAATATTATAAAATATCACTATTATCCTAAATTATTAAGGAACATTTAAAAGGTCCGACTACGTCATTACCATTCCAACAATAACCTTAGCCTAAATTTACAAGTAAATGCACGCAATTCACACCCCCAAACTACACCCACTCTCTGCCTCCCTCTCTTCTTCCTTTTACTCTTCTCTCTCTCTCCTCATCATCAGTGATGTCTCTTCTCTCTTTTCTCTCCCGAGCCCCCTTTTGAAACTTTTTAAGCACACTCACTTTTTCACGAGCATTGCCTGAAAAAACTAGGGTTTCGTCTCACAAAAGGTCAATACTCGAGATTGGCTCAAGGGAATCCATTAAAGATCCTTTTTTTTTTCTCTCTTCTTTTGCACCAGAGGACGATTTTCCAAGACCCTGTCGGTGCTTCTTCTTCTTCTTATAATCTCAACCTCCATAACCTTATACCCCAGGTTTGATCCTATGCTTACTATGTGTCTTTAATTGGTCTGATTTTGGTTCTCATTCAATGGTTTTCGAGATCGAACATGTGAAAGTTTAGTAACTAGGTCATGTGGACTGAAATAGCTAAAGGGAAAAGATTAATTTGCCATTATTAGCGTCAAAAAAGTGGAATTACTTGCTTCGAGCTACTTTTTCTGGAGACGTACTTGTGAAGCAATTTAGTGTTTTCATGTTCCCTAACTGTTTTCAGTCCATTGAATCCGGACTTTTACTGTGTGATGAAGATGGAAGATTCCGGATCGTCTTCTTGCTTAGAACTCGTGATTTGATTTGGAATTGAGTTGAATAAGTGAAAATTTTGGATACAACTTGTGATGCTTTTTTTTTGGATATATAAGCTGTTTTTCTGATCAAATTGATGGGTATCGATAGTGGGTTCTCTAGAGGATCAATTAAAGCTTAGTGGTTTAGCTAGACGGGCTTCAATTGAAAATATTTATGTTGTAATCTAACTGTGAGTAGAATAGGCTGGGTTTTTAAGATGGAGGATATTGGGTTGTTCAAGCAAGGGTGGAAATGGCTGCAATCGAAGAGGCATTGTTACCCGGTAGCACGAACTGCGGTGATCAGTTTCAGGGACAAAATCGGAATGTTTATGGAGCGTCACTGGCCAATGGTTTGCAGTGGATGTGCAAGACTGGGGAGGATCTTGCTTTTGTTGTTGATTTATTGGTGGGATTGTGTGCTCCGGGGAGTTCGGTCATTTATTGGACTGGGTTCAGTGGCGCTGCTCCTTATAATGTGGAGTTGCTTTCTTAGTTTGACATCAATGTCGTGTCTGGTCTATGTACTTATGAGTATGGTATGTTTTAAATTCCATTTCCTTCCAAATTTTATAGTTCTGTTATGGTTACTTATGAGTGGCTTTGCTTTCCATCCTTATTTCTCTAAAGATTTTATTTGTTGGCTTAGCATATTTTTTTTTTTTTTGAATTTTAGTCTAAATTAGGTTTTTTTTTTTTTTTTTTTCATTAGTTATTGTTGGACGTGCTTGCTTGTTTGTGTTTTTGTTATGCCTCCTTGTAGTAATGCAGCATCGTCAAATCCATGGTGGATTTATATGCTTTTCATAATATGAATTAATAATCAGTTTTAAAGCAGTAGAAAAAGTATGCTAGAGAGTTAAATTGATTTGATATGTTCAAAATTTACTTGGGTGAAATATTGAAACGCTAAATAAGATCCTGTGCAAATAATGGCTGAAATCTTGAAATGCTAGTATGTAAACAAAATAAAATAAACCGAATAAAGAAATTGTAAAATACTAGTACTAATAATGGTTTTGCTTAAGGTTACCTTAGTTCAGGTTATTAAGTGCCATGGAAAGAATTGCTCAATATGTTATTTAAGTGCGTTTGTTGGTGAATTTCCAAGATTTTTAATTTGTGAGACTCAATTCACAACTTTATTTATCACAGAGAGAGAGAGAGAGAGACTGTCAACAAGTTCTAGCGAAGACATCTAGTTGGTGCCCTTTGATAATCTAGATGGTCCTACCATTGTTCTGCTTCTACTTCAACTTTGCAGTTTTTTTTTCTTTTCATGTATCTTCGCTTCAATCTATCTGCCCAAACTTAAGTAACTTTGCAGTTTTTTTTTTTCTTCATGTATCTTAGCTTCAATCTATCTGCTCATACCTAAGTACTACAGGCTGAAAGTTGACTGGTCACAAAACTCCAAAAGTGAACCCTTATGCAAAGTCCTGAAATATTTCTTTTTATGTTCTTCTACTCACAAATCAAGCCATATATTCTAGACTTCCAGCCCTACAGAAAGGACTTGGTGTTTTTAATGTTCCTTCCTATTGATCACAGTATATATATTCTGATTACTTCAGTGCAATCGTAAGCTTATGAAGGCTTTATGTAATATTTGCCAATTGCAATTCTATTTTGTACATTGGGAGAATTAATGTTCAATTTGAGGGAGGCTTTGAAGCATGGATATTTCTTTAATGGAGTCAAATCCATACCTTTCCTTATTGAATACTAATATTGTTAGATACTTGCGGATATGTATCCGGCACTTTACGAATACTGTAACCTATCTTGAAATTGAGATGTGGGCATTTAATTTGTAGCTTGAGAGTACAATTGTTAGGATAATAACAAGAATAATTTCCAATACTTAGTGTACTCTTCGATTAAACGAATTGGGAAATAGTGAGATGAAAGCATGTCAGATTGGTCCATGCTGTGTCTACATAATATAACCCTAATTTTTTAGGTGTATATATCGAAAGTTTGAAATTGAAAATTTGGTATATAAATAAAAACAAATAGTTTGTCACAAATATATCATAAAAATTACTTTTCTTTCAATTTATAGAGTTAATTACCTAAATATCCTATTTACAAATGTTATGGTAGTTCAGATTCAATTTAGAATTTTTTGAACCAATAAGTCCTTAGTAAAATTGAAAATATTATCAATTTTTTTTTTATAATTTTTAAAACTGAGAACATTATAAATTTTGCATAGTAATATTTCATATAATTGTTTCACTAACTGATGAAAAAAAAACAAAGCATGAGATTAAACGTTTTTGTCTTTCTATTTATTGGTTTGATTCAACTATCCAATAAAATTGAGAACATTATTAGTTTTTTTCAGTTTTAAAACTGAGAATATTATTAGTTTTTCATTTTTAAAAGTTATTTATTTATTTTTTTGCATTTTTGCACATCAATGTTCCATCAGCATGCTCTTTTATAGACACAATTTTCAATTTTGCACAAATAAATAATTTAGTTTTTTCAGTTTTTTCAAAAAAAGAAAATTATGGGTGTGTTTGGTTAAGCTTTCCAAACTTAATTTCATCCCTTGGTTTGAGCCATGTGTTTGGTTACAGTTTTTAAAAATTGATTCCACACCCATCTATGAAAACACGTCTACCCGGTCATCCTTCCGGACATTCGGCTGGTTGTCCGCAACAGTAATTTTTTTTTTCACCTATTATTTTAATATTTTAAATAAAAAATATTTTCCGAATTTTTTAAAAATTTTTTATGAATTTTGGATTGTGTGTTTGGTTATGAGCTGTAAATTTTTGAATCAAATATTATATGTCATATCACTCAATTCAAAACTCATAACCAAACAAATATTGCATATTCAAATCATAATTCCAAAACTCACAAACTCAAAATATAAGTCTATTTTTAAATCATAATTCTAAAGGTTTACCAAACGCAATCTTAGTTTTTTTTTTGTAGTTTTTGAATTTGAAAGTTGATGTTTTAAAATTTTAAAAATCAAAATAAATGTTAAATCATCATATTCCTTTATAGATAATCATAAATGATGAACAATCATTGTTTGAATGGCAATTCTGACTATTAAAAATTTAATGAGACTTTAAGATCTAAAAAATCTTAATTAGGACTTAATGGAGTATAAATTCATAAATTAGCACTTGTGTGTAAATGCCCCTAATTTATATACATATTTATTTGATATAGGTATATATGTATACATGATGTTGTGTCTTTGATGCATCTGCATCTAGCTTTTTAAGAATTTGTCATATCTATTTATCTATGTTGTGAATATTCATGTCCTTTAGGGGAAATGGAAAGTAAGCAATGCCTTGCATTGTTAGTTTTTAAAAAAATAAAAGAATAAAAAAATAAAATGAAAAATAAAATAGCATTTGAGAGGCATATTTTGCCCTCTGTTACTTTTTCTTCTTCTTCCAGGTTGGCTTTTGCTTTTGGTTCCTTTTAATGTTATAGGTTTCTTTGCTTTTCTATTTATTTTACACAGTTTTTTTTATTCTAGATAAAGGATTGGATGCTGTAGATGTTATCATATATGTCTCTCTCAAATTATTTAAAGAACTATACCACTGACATTTGCATCTGTTATCTCAGGGAGCTGCCGGGGCTGCTGTTCAGTACTTGGGTTATACTCCTGGACTTTTCATTGTAGGGCTATTCGCTATTTTGATTTTATGGATGTACGCTAACTTTTGGATAATGGGTACATTGTTTATAGTTGGAGGTATGCCATTGTTTCTTGACTGATTTTGAATTTAGATATTGAGGAGACATTCTTGCATTCCTCTCTTTTAATGCATTCCTTCCTAGGATGGTTTTTTAGGGAATTAAAATCATGAGAATACTTCTCTGTTGCATATTGGATTTTGAAGGTGAAATGTCATAATAATTTGTGTGCTATTATCCTTGTTCTGAAAACCCTTATTTTGATTTCCCTTTGTCAATCTTGAATATTGGCATAATTTTTCATTAAGTTCAGTTAAAATTCCTGCTGTTCTATTCTAAACTTGCAAAGTTTACAATCACAAGAAACATGTTCAGTTTGAGGTTGTATATGAACAGTTTCTGATACAATTAATTTCCTTGGGCTCAAAACCTTTATTTGTTGGATGGTCACTTGATTTTGTGCTGCTCAAGACTTATTTTGAAGCTCTTGAGAAATAAAACTTATGTGCTTCATTTCTTTCTTTTCAATCTTTATCTAATTGCAAATTTGCAATAGATAAATGAACAGTTGCGTTTAGATGGTTCCTATCCTTCTCTCATGTGCTTCATCTTTTACAGTAAATTCATGTTGCAAAATGCAGGTTATTTGTTTTCTTTAAATCATGCGCGGTTAGTAGTCTTAATGGCAACTATATATGCTGTCTATTGTGTCAAAGTTCGAGTTGGATGGCTTGGAGTTCTTCTGTCAATAAACCTTTCTTTCCTCTCAAATGATGTATTGAATTACTTGCTCCAATGGTGCGATAATTTGAGTGAAAATTCTCATTTTGAGGAGCAGAAGGAACCAGAGTCATTTGCAGAAGATGATTTGTCTGGGGAGTGTGGATATTCTGTTCCTATTGATGAACCTGAAAAGTTGCACTCCTGTAAATCATCTAGCAAAACTGCTGCTACTTCATCTGTTATATGCAAACAAAAAGAATCCTCTGCTAAACAGGTGGTCAGAGAAGATACAAGTTCAATCGATGAGATGAAGCGGATATTAGGTAGCACGGATCACTACGAAGCACTGGGATTTCCCCGCCAGAAGAAAATTGACGCTATGTTGTTGAAAAAGGAATATCGGAAAAAAGTATGTTACTTATAGGTGTATGCATGCATTTTCCTTTTAGCTGTTCTTGTCTGCATGCATATGATTTTTGAATAGTAGAACTCATTCAACTTCGTGTGGCTGTGTTCTGGCAGGCCTTTATGACTCCCTTTCTCCACATCCTAGGTGAAAGAGATCAATTTACTTTTAGGGTCTTTTTTTTTTTTTTAATAGATGATCATGATCTCCTGATACACCAACTATTTGTTTAGAATTAAATGGATGTCTGACAAGTGTTCTCTTTTAAAGTGTCAATTTTGGGGGTTTTGGCATTTTTGCTGACAATATATATATATTTTTGGATGAGTTTATTTTGCTGAATTTTTTATTTGATATTAACTTTTGGAATGGAGAAAATGGAATGCTACCAAAGATGGGGACTTTTTTGGCATTGGGTTGACTGTTTTTCCTATTATTATTATTATTATTATTATTTATTTATTTGCCTGGGTGGAGGGGGGGGGGGGGAAATAGACTGTCAGTGTGGAAACTATTTACATAGTGTTTTTTTTTTTTTGGTTTTTAAGAACCTGCATTCATTAAAAAACTTGAAAAACCAGCAGATTGTCATGTCTTCAATGTTTTTTCATCAATTAAAAGTGTAGAAATGAAAACCAAAATTTGAGTAAGATGTTATATTTTTCCTTAGAAACTACTTTCTTTTATCAGTTTCAGTTGTTAGGAGGCCTTTTTTGTTCTTAAATATGCAAATAACTTTCTGTGCTTGTGAGTGTTTCAACAATCTGGTTTCCAGGAAACATCTAAAAAGTGGTTCTTGAAAACACAATGCTAGTCTCTGTATACTACTAGCAAATGAGCCGAGCGGAGCCAAGTTGAGTTTTGTAGAGCTCGAGATCAAAATTCTAGCTCGAGCTTGGCTGGAAAATTAATCCAGATTGAGCTTGGCTCAGCTCGTTAATACTAATCAAGCTTGAGGTTGTCTTGAAGCTCAATAATGAATTTTTTTTTGGCTATTAGTGACATTATTTACTGAGCTTATTTGAGCTAGAGCTCTGCTCATTTATTAAATGAGCTTAAAAGTGTGGCTGGAGCTTGTTTATTTACTTAACGAGCCAAGTCAAGTTGAGCCCTTAATGAGTTGAGTCGAGCTCGTGAAGAGCTTGGTTCATGCAGCCCTACTAGTCATGTTCATTTCATCCACTTTTCCAGAAACAAAATAGACCTGCATTCAATAAATGCACCTATTCCAAGATAAAATAGAATTTATGTATCGATAGAAGGAAATAGTATCTAATATGTGGAGGTAGAATCAGAATTCAGCAGAGAAGCAATTGTATGCCACTCAAGTAGGTGCCATTTAAAAATTTATCAGAATAGATGTAATTTTATCTCATATTTTTTTTTACTTTTTCTAATAGTTTTCCTTACTAATTTTCTTCAATTATGATGTCTACTCTTTGTTTCTTTCTTCTGTTTACTGACTGTTACCCTTTTTTTGGTGTAGGCCATGCTTGTGCATCCTGATAAGAATATGGGAAGTCCACAAGCAAGTGAATCATTCCAGAAACTTCAATGTGCATATGAGGTAAGGGTATATGCCTTGAAATTAATTCTATTGTTAGATTATATCATTTAATACATATGCTGATGTTGTACCCTTCTTGCAACTTACAATGGCTTAACTTTTCAGGTTCTTTCTGATTCTGTGAAGAAGAGAGACTATGATGAGCACTTAAGGAAGGAAGAATCTAAGCGTGTCTCTCAGACTTCACATAATGCTTCACATCCGGTATTATTATGTGGCTTTGCTTGTTAATTTAATTGCAAGTTTTACCATCAATGTTTGAACTTGTTTATCTTTTGAAGGATGGTGACAACACTCAAAAAGGGAAAGGGTGCGTAGTTTATAAAACTTATCTTTAAGAGGATATGAATTTGCTTTCTTAAAATATAGGGTAAATTACATTGACCTCCTTTAAGGTTTGCCAATATTACAATATAGGGTTAACTTATTTATATGTTTAACAAAAAAATGTAGAACATGCATTTGACTAATCAGTTGTCAATCTAGCAGTAAAATTTCACATTTTGGAGCCATAACCTTTGCAGTGGGTTGATTTGTGACAATCTAAGGTGAGGAAAATATCACCACCGTCAACCACCATTGCCACCGTGTACATCCACTCTCGTTCAATCCACAAATTATGAAACCCCAAATCCAAATCCAAATCCATGTGTATATAGATACATGCAAACATATACAATTTTGTTTTCATATAACCCTTGGATCTGTAATTGCGTCTGTTGGTTTGGATCTACAATCACTTTGTACAACCCTTGAATCTGTGGAGTTGGTTGGGTTGTCCCTCGTTGACTTGCACTCCTTTGCAGAGGCCAGCTTCGATCATGACAGGTGGTGTACCCATCCCAGCGATGTACTGTGTTTGTGGATGAATTGAACAGGGAGGGTGGTAGGTAGCCATGGTGCTATGGAGAGGGAAGAGAGGGTGGGGGTGTTGTGAAGGGGGGAGGTAAGGTAGGTGAGAAGGTTGGGTGGGTGGCATGTGGTGGTGAAAGGTAATGTTAATGGTTGCCTTTCAGTCTCCTCTGTAGTCTATTGTAAAAGAGAGGAGAGAGTTAGAGGGAGAAGTTTTTTTCATTTCACATTAATACAATTTTACTGTAATGTTAAATGAAGGGGAAAAGGTAAGCCTCCGTTTGGGAAGTGGGTTGGCTTTTTGGCTTTTTGGAGTGGTGTACCCATCCCAGCGATGTACTGTGTTTGTGGATGAATTGAACAGGGAGGGTGGTAGGTAGCCATGGTGCTATGGAGAGGGAAGAGAGGGTGGGGGTGTTGTGAAGGGGGGAGGTAAGGTAGGTGAGAAGGTTGGGTGGGTGGCATGTGGTGGTGAAAGGTAATGTTAATGGTTGCCTTTCAGTCTCCTCTGTAGTCTATTGTAAAAGAGAGGAGAGAGGGAGAAGTTTTTTTCATTTCACATTAATACAATTTTACTGTAATGTTAAATGAAGGGGAAAAGGGTAAGCCTCCGTTTGGGAAGTGGGTTGGCTTTTTGGCTTTTTGGATATTTTAGCCTGGGGCTAAAAAGCCTGGTTTGGGACAGTGTTATTTAAGGCGAAAAGCGAATCGAGGCGACAAGGTCACCGAATGCCTAAGCGCGAGGCGACGAGGCGAGGCGAGGGCTTCATCGAAAAGATGAAAAAAATGAGTCGAAAATATGTCGAACATAATAATTTCAAAAATTGCATGAATCGTAAAAAGTGAATCGAATCGTGAATCGATGGTGAATCGTGCGATTCACTAGAGATTCACTTCCAAAATAGATTCACTCATAGATTCGTATCGATTTTGTAAAAATTGCGAATCGAATCGTGAATCGAATCGTGAATCGTAAGATTCTGATAACAGAGGTTTCAGCATAAAGAAATTAAAAAACATATTTTAACAACATTAAAGAACATAAAGAAATTAAAATAGTTGAAATTAATTGAATTAAAATAATTAATTGAATAACTAGGAAATTAAATTAATTGAATTACAATAAACAAATTAATTGAATTAATTGAATTAAACAAATTAATTGAATTAAAATAATTAATTGAATAACCAGGAAATTAATTGAATTAAATTAATTGAATTAAAACAAACAAATAAATTGAATTAATTGAATTAAAATAATTAATTGAATAACAGGAAATTAAAATAATTAATTGAATAACAGGAAATTAATTGAATAACAGGAAATTAAAATAATTAATTGAATAATTGAATTAATTTTAAAAATAATTTTTTGCGAATTAAAAATTAATTTTAAAAAATAATTCAATTAATTGTAACACAGGTTCGAGTTCGACAGTGTTCTTCTTCAATTCGAAGTCGAACAAAGAGATGCAGGTGATGATTCGAACTAGGGCCCAGGTGATTCGAACTCACTTCGGCAGAAAAAGGAAGATGATTCGAACCCACTTCGGCAAAAGAAGACCCAGAGATGATTCGACTTCGGCAGACGATCGACTTTGGCAGATGATTCGATCTAGGGCCCAGATGATTCGAACTCACTTCGGCAGAAGAAGGAAAATGATTCGAACTCACTTCGGCAGAAGAAGACCCAGAGATGATTCGAACTTAAATCAGGCAAAAATACGATGAAGCGTCGCTTCGTTTCGCCTCACGCTTCATCGCCTAAGCCTCGCTTCAGGCGCTTCTCCATCGCCTCGCCATTTCGCCTCGCCTCAGTACGCATGAAGCGCTGAAGCCTCGCCTCGCCTCGCCTCACGCTTAGGCGAGCGCTTAGGCTCGCCTTTGATAACACTGGTTTGGGAAGGGCTTTTTGGCTTTTTTGGCTTTTTGGTGAGGTGTCTTCCTGTTCATTTACCAAAGTGCCCTTGTTGTTGTTGTTTTTTTTTTTTATTTTTTTTATTTTCGGTTTGGATTTGGCTTTTTTTGCTAACCTTTTTTTTTATTTTTTTATTTTGGGTTTGGATTTGGCATATTTTGCTTAAATTTTTTTATTTTTTTATTTTGGGTTTTATTTTGGCGTATTTTGGTAAAATATTTATTTTTTTATTTTGGATTTGCCGTATTTTGCTTTATTTTTTTATTTTTTTTTAAATTTATGTTTTTGTCATTTTTATTTTTTTATACATTAATTATTTCTTTTTTTTAATTTACGTTTTTTGTCTTATTTATTTTTATTGGTATACAATAACATTTTTTTTATTTATGTGTTTCATTTATTTGTAAATTACGTGTTTCATTTATGTGTTTCATTTATGTTTTTATGTTTTTTTTTTCAATATATTTTTGAATGAGGCGTATTTTTCTTGTTATTTTTTTTTAATTTACGTTTTTGTCATTTTTTAATTCGTACACATTAATTTGTTTTTATATTTCAAAAATGGGTTTTCATGTGTTTTATTTATTTGTAAATTACATGGCAAATGGTAATTTCTATTTTTTTTTTTTATCTTTTTGGATGAGGCGTATTTTTGTCGTTCGTTTTTTTTTTCAATTTACGTTTTTGTAATTTTTTAATTCGCACTAAATATTTTTGAATGAGGCGTATTTTATTTAAAATAATTTATGTATTTTAAGTTTTTTTTTGCAAATGGTTTTTTCATGTGTTTTTTATTTTTATTTTATTTTCATTTTCTGTGAAATGATAAAAAGTGAGGTTTTATTTTATTGTCCTGTGTAATTTAAATAATTTAATTTTAAATATTTAATTTTAATTTAATTTTACTTTTTTTGGTAAAATTGTAATTTTATTTTAAATATTTAAATAATGTAAATAATCTAAAAATTTAATAAGCAAAAAATTAAAATAATATTCAAAAAATTTAAAGCGTAAAAATTTAAATAATTTAATATTCAAAAAATTATTTAAAAAAAAAAATTTAATAATTTAAATATTCAAAAATTTAAATAATTTAAAATGTTAATATTTTAAATTTAAAAACAACTCTACACTCAAATCGTAACCAAATACATAAAATAAAACTCAATTAATAAATTATTTTTAAAACTCATAACAAAACACATAACTTAAAACTCCATACTACTTTCAGAAGTCTACACTGAAATCATAACCAATATATAACAAAAATTAAAAATATTTAAAAAAATTTTTTTTTTGGATGAGCCGTATTTTTGTCATTCTTTTTTTAAAATTTTTTCCTACACACTAATTTTATACAATTTGTATAATACATATTTTTCATTAAAAATCAAAAAGTTAACCCAAACATCCATATTTTCAACCTCAATTTTTTAGTCCAAAAAGACAAAAAATATACTTATTTAGGACACCCTAAACAATCTCTTAATATAATATTTTATTTTATTGAATTAAAAAATTTATTTTTATTCTTTTATGATTATTTTAGGGGGGAAAAAAAACCCAAAATCCTTCCATGTCAAAAAATAGTGACAGTGGGTCAGTACCCCAAAAGTCACGCTGAGGGAACAATGCCAAGAATAGCTTCTTCTCTTTTCAGGGTATTTTGGTAAATTTACCCCACAAAGGATTGAACCCAACACATTGATTTCTGTTTTGTCTGGACGTGGCTAAATAAGCCTAATTTGTCCGGACGTGGCTAAAATAGCCTCAGTTTTGCTTCCCAAACGGTGCCTAAATTTAATATCTCCATCATCTCCATTTAGGTCACCCTTGCAAGAAGGGAGGTTGGTGTGATTATGCCATCTAATTATAACACTCGGGTGGTCACTGTAATTTACCCACAAATTTATGTGATCTCATTTTTTTACCTTACAACATATTGTTGACATCTTTAACTAGGTTTATCAGTGCATAATCCTTTTATTTTTGTTAGTATTCCACTGCTTGTTTTGTGTTTCAACCATCTACAAAAAGCATGACCATGTAACAAAATAAAAAATACTTAATTGTTTGTGCTTTCAGTTGTCTTGTCCTGTTGGTGAGATTGGTTGATGAATGAACTAGGATACATATTAACCATATCTGTATAATATGCAGGATGGCTCTGATTACTGCTCTGAGGAGTCCAGGCGTATACACTGCACAAAATGTGGCAATTCACACGTTTGGGTTTGCACCAATAGGTCTAAGGCCAAGGCAAGATGGTGTCAGGTTGGACTTCTTTTGATCTCTCTCTCTCTCTCTCTCTCTCTCTCTCTCTCTCTGTGAATGGATAGATCGCACTCAGTTGTTTTAAATGGTTGAGGTTTGTTTTGGATTTAGGATTGCTGTCAATATCATCAAGCCAAGGATGGAGATGGATGGGTTGAATATAAAGGCTCACTGGTCTTTGATCAGCCTCAAAAGGTATCATTTCAACGGAAGCTTGATCTATTTGTTATTTCTTTACTTGTTTATTATATTAAAATTGCTTCAAAATGTTGTTTTGAACTTTAGACTTGTAATACCTTGATTTGTTTATTTACTGATGTATAATACCGCGTTTGATATGGTTCTAGCTCTTCAACATAAAGAGCTACGATTCATGAGGATGTGTTTTGGAGGCCAAATGTCTTCTACAACCAAATTTCAGTTTTTATTTTTCTTAATGATTGTTGGAGCTGCTTACTATAAGATTTGGCAATTTGCTTAATCCATGCCATAGCCTTTCTCAAGAAGGCAGCACAGAAAAAGCCTGGCATAGTAATCACACTTTGTAAATGTGCGACTGCTTGTAACCCTGTTTTTCCTTGGTTTGAGAAATAAGTTTAGACCTGCCCTTGTTGATTAATAAAGTTCTAAAATAATCTTGTCAGGTAAAGAAGCCCCATGTAAGTCAATTTGATGAAGATTTGATTTTTTAAATTTAGATTTTAGCATGTCACATATGACAATGCGACACTTAAGTACTTCCCAACTCCCTATATCATATATTTTCAGAAGACTTTTAAGTCTCTCTTGGGACCTATTTGTGTTTTAATGAAGGATGTAAAGGATTTCCGCATGCTTGTTCTATTTTCCTACTGTCGTTGGTGTTATGCTTTTCTTCAGGTCGCAAATTTGTTGACTGACTCTGTTGATTATCATGTTAATCATTCATTTTGCTAAATGATTCATTTGCCATTTAGGTGGAAATACCACGTGCTTTTGTTTGTGCTGAGAGCAAGATATTCGACGTATCAGAATGGGCTATTTGTCAGGTCAGTTTTACGTACACACCTCCCTATAAAACATGTGCATCCTTGTGCTAAGCAAAATACATATTTCAGTTGTGGACATGCAAACAATACCAAAACAAAGTTTTGGTATAGACAGAGAGGATGAGTTTGCTATCAGTTTTTGATCAATTTACACCAGAAAATAGAGTTGCACAGGGGAAGTCTTCATCATCTGTGCAAAATTTAATTTGGAGTCTCCTTTGTATGTGATTTGATTGCAATGCAGAGCACACCTGAAATTGGGTTGGCTGCCTTTGCTCTACTACCTGTTTAATTTTAATCTACAATTCTAAGAAAACCCCCTTTTCTCTTGCCAAGTGCAATGGGCTAATGCAACCGAGGGTAAATCCTTCCCCACCCATTGAACACCCAACCCAGGATTTAGGATTAAGTAAAATTTTGTCGGGGAGAATTTTTTTTTGGATTTATTTAGGACCTATTCTTTCCTGATTTAATGACTGACTGAACCTTGCTGAACCAACTATCGTGTTTGTATAGTGTACATAAAAATAAAAATAAAAACTATTATGTTTTTACAATTTGAAAATTTCTCTTAAAGCCCATAGAATTTTGGGTGTTTATGTTACAAAATGGTATTTTGCCCCCTTGAATGTCTAATAAATTTTACATGGCCCTGTGAACTTCTAAGAATTTCACTTAGGTCTAGTTTTTTTTTTTTTTTTTGAGGTTTGTAACTGCTATTTACAATTTTTTTTTTTTTTTTTGGAATATTATGAAACAGTAATTTGGCCCCTGTAAAGTCTCTTAAAGCCCATAATTTTTACCTGCCCCCCTAAGCTTCTGAAGAATTTCACTTAGGCCCTATAATTTTTCTTTGGGTATTTCAAAACTCATGAAATTTTAGATGTGCCTTTAGCAAATCATATACTTGGGCTTGTGTTGTGCATGCAATGAATACTAGAAGAATCATTACTCTTCTGCAATTCCATCTTTAATACTTTGGAGCTCAAAATTGTTTCTGTATAGGGAATGGCTTGTAGGCCGAATACTCATCGGCCTAGTTTCCATGTAAACATGGTTGGGCTGGAGAAAACTCAGAGATCCAACTCAAGCAGGTATCCATGGGATTTGGATGCTGAAATGACAGATGAAGAGGAAGAATTTGAACTGTGGTTACAGCAAGCTCTGGCCTCTGGCATATTTTCCGAGACACCCAAACGCAGAAAGAGCTGGAGTCCCTTCAAGTTGCATCAAAAGAAAGGAAAGAAACCATCGCGAAGATCATCTCCATGAGTGCAAAACCCTTGTTGTATCGACAGATCTACTTCCTCCTCTGACTCGTCAAGAACTTAAAATAGAGAATGTCAAGATTTAAAGTTGCCCCCATGATATCAAAGAGATGAGAATGGGGATGGTTGGGGTGGGGTAGAGAGAAATAGAAAATCAACTATTTGATCCTTGTGCCTGTAAATAACACAAGATTTTTATTTATTTATTTTCCTTCTTTTTTCGGTCACATTTCGTCCGATGCAGATGTTTTGTCTGCCCTCTGAAGGTTCATACGTGAGAATCGCTAGTGAACAGAACTGAGTGCACGCTTATTTGTGTATATTGATTTGACTCCCCTACCTTCTATTATGCACTTGTAATAATTAAAAAAATCCATTTTTTTTTTTTTTTTTTAAATCGTCAGATTCTCTGCCCCCTTTTCCGTTTATCTTAAATCATTTCTCTCCTTTCTATCTTAAATCATTTCTCTATTACATGATTTATCTTGTTGACTATAATCATGTGATGAAGAGGGGTTGGAAGATGGTGGAACAGAAGATTTTCAGCCCAAGATGATGATGGTTTTTTTACTCTCATGTGCTTCACAATTTCACTTGCATATATTACTGTGTTTTTTGGATTTTGTTGACATGTGCACACGTTAGGAAAGTTAAAAAGATGGTAGATAATACAAGATTGCAGATGATGCATGAAAGGGGGTGTAATATGTATAATTGTTTTTACTTTGAGGATATATATAAATAAGATTTTCTAATTTTATTTTTAAATTGGTAGAAAGAGAATGAGGAAAGGAAAAGTTGCAATAGAAAGGACGATATCGCATAACGTGAAATGGTAGTTTTATTTTATTTTTTTTGAACTCAAATGGTAGTTTTATTTGATCTGTTATTTGAGCAAGAGGAATTGAGATTTTCTCTTCCACAGAAAATGTGAAATTTGCCAATTGGTCAAGCCAAAGGTTGATGTGGCACAGATTTGAGATTACAAAGGAAGAATGATGTCACTATATAAACTTGTTAATGTTTGGTCGTTGAAATGGTTGTTTATCTAGGTGGTAACAAATGAACATTGATGAGTTAGTTGGGGTGAGGTCGTCCTCTCATTATAGTTGTCCTATACATGTTAACTACCTATTATGAGATTAGGTGGTTGGACAGACGGATCGTGGAGAAATGTGGTCCCTGATGTAATCCTTGTTTGTTTGCCAAGGAAAAAAATTAAAAATATTTTGGAAAATAGGAGGAAAAAATTATAAATTATAATAACAGTAAGAACTTGAAAAATAATTATAAGAACATAAATTTTTTAATCTCAACGATGAATTTGCTCCTCTCTTTTTTTCTCTACTTCTTCTCTCCTAATGAAATTCTCAGAGTCAAAACCCATCACCGGCCATTCTTTCCCTCCACCCTCAACCCTTCCCTTAGTTGCTTTCTTGCCACCTCCAACCACTTTGATGCCCTTGCCTCTACTCACCATTGCGACACTCACATTGCCCTCCTCTCATCATTGCAACACCTTTAGCTCTCTCTCCCACAATTTGCAATGAATTTTTTTTGCAAATCGAGATTGAGATATATTCTGCATTTTTAATATGCCTCATTCTTTATCTCTTCGATATTATTAATCTACATATTTACTTGTGATAAATATAATGATTCATTATTTAAAAAAAATCTCATAGTTTTATAATCATGCATGTAATGACGTGGCCTAATAAAATTTAGAAAATAAAAAAGAAGATACAAAAGAGGTAAGGGGTTTCGACTCAAGGTGGGAAAAGGATGAGGAAAGAGTTGAATAGGGTCAAGGAAGATGAGAAAAGTTTTAAAAATTTGTTAATGAAATAAAATATTAGTAACAATTGGAATAGTCAAATTTGAAGGTGAAGGAGTTGTAAGGTAAGCATTGGATTCCTTTTGTTATGAAGTGGGCAAAAGAGTTATATCACTCATTTAACCCCCTTGGAGGACAGTGCCCTACTTGGCTTTCAGTGTGGGCGGTTAGTTTGGTTATAACTTTTATGATAGTTTTATGAGGGCTTCATCTAGGGCGGTTTTTAACTACAATGCAAGCTTATTATGAGAATGCTCTACCTCTCCCCACTTCGCTGTTTCTTTTTAAACATTTTTTCTTATCTCTTCTAATGAAGCCCTTTGTTGTTGTCCTGTGTATGTTGTAACCGGCTTGTTGTTGTCCTCTTAGTTTGTCCCTTCTTTTTTCTGTTAAAAAGGTAAATTATAGTGGTCAAAATATTTGAAGCTAGTGAGTAAATTATATTATTATTCCTCTTTTTATTGGTACTTCAATTATTAGAAACAATCTCTCTCAATTATTTTTTCGCACTCCTATTGAATTTACTTTGATTTTAGCATACTTCAAGAGTTCAAAATGAAATATAATTTTATTCACGTTTGATAACAATCATAATTTATTGATCTAATAAGTATTTATCTGCGTAAAATTTAAATTGAATTAACATTTAATCTAACACAATAATTTAACCAATTAAACTAACCCAACATGTTTTACATATAGCAGTCAACAACATATTTACACACCTTAATATTTTATTTATTAATTTAGATTTTTTTTTTAAAAATTTTATACTTTTATATAAAAGTCAAAGTAAAAGAAGAGATTTTTTACTTTTTATTTTTGAATCCTTTGCACGCGAATAGTCACGCTTGGGGGCCTTGACCTTTGTTCCAATTTAAAAAATAAAATTAAAAAATTTTCATTTCAAACCGTAGGTTACCAATGCACTGCAAATTAAAATAAAATAAAATAAATGTCATAAATCTATAATAATTATCTAATCTAATACCAACTATGACCAATCCGATTGCTGCTCTTTGTGTGCATCCATCACCTTCTTCTTCTACTTCTCCTTCTTTCTTTGTTTCAATTCAATCTTTAGGGTTTCGTGTGCTTCTTTCTTTGTAGTATTGTTGATTATGCATTGTTTTCTCTCTCTAATCTTGCACAAAGTGTTTGATTCTAACTTTTCTCTGTTTGTTCCTTTTCCCCCATTTGAATTGATTCAATTAGAGCTTTGAAGAGCAAGTGATATTGATTCTGTGACAAAGAGAATATTCGAATCGAATGGGTGCTTGCTATTCCTCGAGAGGTGGAAGAAGAGGAGGAGATACAGAGGAGGAGGTAGATGGTTGGTGGAAGAGCAAAGCCAATCGGAGTAGTAATAAGAGGACAAGCTTCGATTCCAAGTCCAAGAGAAGTTACACCGGTGATTTCTCTTCTTTTATCGGCAAGTTCGGCGGAGGAGGAGCGGCGGCGGAGGAGGGTTCGCTGCTTCAGATTCCGGGGAGGCTGTTTGGCAACGGGTCTAGCAGCATCGCCTGCTTGTACACCCAGCAGGGCAAGAAAGGAACCAATCAGGACGCCATGATCGTTTGGGAGGTTCGTTGGAAACCCTAGTTAGTGTGTGTGTGTGTGTGTATAATATATATCATTGTTGTATAGCTGAATTTATAAACTTTGATTATTGTGCCCTTCTCTTTCACTTCTACAATTTACTTGGAGTTGTCTTTTTCAGCATTGTATTGCTTTAAGAGAGACAAAAAAGGTTGTATCTTTCTCTTTCTCTGCTGTTCTATGTCTGCTTCGCACCATATGTATCTGCATATTTCTGTTATCTTGGCTCCATGTGGCTCAGAATTTACTTTTTTTCATGTTCTGTACTGAATTTCTGTACTAGAACAGCATATGCAAATTAAATTGTAGCTCAATGTGATTATCGAATCCCAATTTTAGAATTAAAGAAACCCTAAACCCTAAATCTTGATAGGAGCTTCCTATGTTTGTATTTGAGATAGCTATTATTGGTTCTTTATCATGTTTTAGCTCTTGGGTTATCCTATTTCGCTATGTCTAGATTAGCAACAGTACACGGCATGATTATTGGGTATTTTTTTTTATCTTATCTAGATTCGAATATTTGATAATCTTTGTTCTTCTCTATTGGGTCAGTTAATGATGACTTGCTTGGAATGTTTCTGCAATAGAATTTCAGTTCAAGAAGTGATACAGTCTTTTGTGGTGTGTTTGATGGTCATGGTCCTTATGGTCATATGGTTGCAAAAAAAGTTCGAGATTCCCTTCCTGTTCTGCTGTGCTCTCAGTGGAAAGCTAATTCCAAAAGTGACCGAAGTGAGAATGGAAATGCTACCAAAAGTTCAAATTTTGAGGAATGCGTGGATGACGATTGGTGTGAATCTTTGGAGGTTGAGGAGAATGAAAAACTCCCTGAAATGTACCTGCCACTAAAACAATCAATGTTAAAGGCTTTCAAACTGATGGATAAGGAATTAAAGTTCCATTCAGCAATTGACTGTTTCTGCAGTGGAACAACTGCTGTTGCTTTGGTAAAGCAGGTAATTCTTATGCTGTATTCTCAAACCATTTAGCACTCAACGTTTTGTAAATTTTTTTTTGATTTGTTTTGTTGTTGTCGTTGTTGAAAGAAAAAAGTTAAGGGAATGAACAGGAAACACTGAAAAGGATCACAGAAGTTTCAAACTTTAAACTGGACCTGTTTTGCAATTGCTAAACATGGGATGAATTTGGAATTTGACATACATCCGGAAATTTTGTTAATGTTGGGTAGTATTTGAAAAGATTGGCCTACATCTGACGTAATCTTAATATCAGATAATGAAAGAAAGGCATTAGACATGCAGTAGGCATTAAGGCATAAAAGCATAAGGGACCTCGTCATCAATTGTCAAACTAATGTATAAATTCAACAGACATTCTAAATGATGTTTCGGCCTTTGGTTGTTGTTAAGCAAACAGGGAAGAGTCTGGTTATGTTTATAAGTTTTGGAATCACTTATGATTAAGCATGTTTATGAGCTTGAATTATTTTGGTATTGAACAATTGCAGATAAAATTTGCATACTGAAGTTATCTTCACAATTGGATACTAGATTCATTTAGCCGACCCCATTTGATTGGGACATAAGCCTTAGTTTGGTTTGGTTATAGTTTAGATAGTGGCTATTGCGAGTGACTAAAGTAGGATAACAGACATGAAAGTTCATGTTATCAACCATTTCACCTAACATATCTTGGTGAATGGTAAGTGTATAAGCAAGCAAACAGTTCACAGATTGGTATTTGCTGTCTATTGATTAGACATAAAAAATTGACAGGATGCTAGTTGGCTAGTTAGTCTACCTGCATGGTACTAGACCAGACATGACCACTGTTGTTGGTATAATCTGGAATGCTGTACAATCTAATCAGTAAAGAAGTTGCAGGGCTTTGTTTTTTAGTGGTTAAAAGTACGAATTTAGGATGAAAATTGTTGTGTTGGTGTGTTCATGTTGTGTCTATATCGTGTTACGTGTCCATATCCATGCTTCTTAGATCATATTCAAAAGTTATGAGATGATTTAGATTGATCTTACATCATGTTATCACTTTACCATTTGTTTTCAGGGTCAGGATCTTATAATTGGAAATGTTGGAGACTCGAGAGCAGTACTGGCTACAAGGGATAAAGATAATGCTTTGACTGCTATACAGTTGACTGTTGACTTGAAACCTAATCTTCCAAGTCTCTCTCTCTCTCTCTCTCTCTCTCTCTCTCTCTCTCTCTCTCTCTCTAAACTTACTTTTTACTTATTGTTTAGGGGAAGCTGCTAGGATCCAGCAGTGCAAGGGAAGGGTCTTCGCATTGCAAGATGAGCCGGAGGTTGCCCGTGTGTGGTTGCCTAATAGTGACTCACCTGGTTTGGCCATGGCTAGAGCTTTTGGAGACTTCTGTCTAAAGGATTTTGGTTTGATATCTGTCCCAGACATTTATTACCACCGCCTTACAGAGAGAGATGAATTCATTATTTTAGCCAGCGATGGGGTATTCTTCTGTTATTTCATATTAGTGTAATCAAGGAACTTTACTTTTAATTTTGATTTGTTTTTTCTCATGATCTTTAGGGGGATGATTTTGTGTAAATAAAAAATAATAACAACAACAACAACAAAAAAAAAAAAAAAAAGGAAGGAAAGAAAAATATTGGATTTTGCATGGGTAATAATTTGGGATGACAGTTGCCCACTAAACTCGTATATAAGTCGGTAGTTTTTCAATCTCATTGGTGTTTAAAAGTACATATTATTATGACACAGGTTTGGGATGTCCTCTCGAACAAGGAAGCTGTAGATATAGTTGCCTCAGCACCAGGTTGTGTAACAGCAGCTAGAGCTCTTGTTGACTGTGCTACTCGAGCATGGAGGCTCAAATACCCCACATCCAAGAATGATGATTGCGCTGTTGTATGCCTTTTTCTAGAACACGTGCCAGTACCCGATGCAGCTCCAGCAGAGAATGATTTGACAAAGGATACTGAGACGGTGCTAAAGATAATCTCTGTGACAAATGAGGACACCAGGAATTCAGCTATTGGTGGTGGTGTTTCAGCTTCTGATGCTTCTATTATTGAGGAATCGGGTACTTTCAAAGACTCTGGTGAGATTGTTCCTGTTCTTGAGTCAAACGAGGAAAAGCTTCCTGAAAAGTGCCTGGGCCAATCTAGGAGAAGCCTAGCCGAGTGCCTTTCAACTGGGGAAGACGAGGAATGGTCTGCCCTTGAAGGTATTACAAGGGTTAATAGTCTGCTAAGTATTCCCAGGTTTTTTTCTGCCGATAAAAGATCAGGTAGTTGGAGAAAGTGGTTATAAAACATCTAAAGAATGCTCTTTGATCTTGATTTCGCTCGCAGCCAAGTGGAATTGTAATTATTTTTATAATTATAATATGATTGGAGCCGTTTTCTCTTCAAGTATTGCTTCTCAAAGCAGTTGGAGAAATTCTGTAGTTTTCAAGTTGCCCGATACCAGTGATGGAGGTGCTGAAATCACAAAAACCACCAGGCAAGTGTCTCTGCCTGTTTCAAGCTGCAAGAAGCCCTAGAAAATGGTTACTGCGAGGCCTATATATATGTATCAGTGTATATTGGCAAAAATTAGTTGGTTCGATTAGATTTTGTGTTATGTTTCATTGAAAAGGGCAGCTTTAGATATTGTCGCTAATTTTGTTTGTAGGAAGACAGATTATACGTAATATGTATTTTTTTTTTTGTTGTTTTTGTTTTTGTTTTTGTTTAGTGAGAATGAGTTTTCGTTCTTATATTTTTGGTTGGCATTGCTTCATGCATTTGTCTAGCTGTAAACTCCTCTGTTCATGAACCAAATTATTTTCCTTTCCTTTCCTTTCCTTTGTTGTCATGTAGGAAAAGAAAACAAGACTGGATGATTTATATTTAGAGTAATATTACAAACCCACCTTTATTAACTCAAAAATTAATTTTCATCACACTTTACATGTACTTTACACTATATAAATTAATTTTTACTATACAATTACGCATCCAGAAAATTCTAGGCGGATAAGTCTTGGTCCTTAGAATTTCCCAAATATTTATGCACCTAACTTTTTTACCTTAATTAGATGTACCTAAAAAATTAAATATTTGTACAGAAAATTAAATTTTTTTTAATAAAAAAAATAAATGCAAATGTAGTAAATTTTTATATTTTTGTATTTAGTGATTTTTTTATTAAAAAAAATTCACTAACTTAACAAGGTAAAAATACTGGCCCTATTTTAAGCGATTTTTTATGGTATAAAGATGTTTTTACCTCTAGAATCATGCTTAGAGATGATTGTATTAAGTTATTTTGAAAAGAAAAATTCATTAATGGATTACCCAATCTTTTTGTCCATAAAATTCGAGATGTTCTTAGTCAATCTACTGGTATTATAGAATATGATAATTTAACTTATGGTGATATAATTAGTACCATTTAAAAAGAAGGATTAAAAATGTGCATAGATATGAAACTTAGTCAAAATGCTACTAAGGATAAACACAAAGCTAAATACGAATTAAGAAATTTCTGCGAACAATATGGTCTACCTCTTGTTGCACCATCACGACTCAAACATAATAACAAGAGATCTTCACACAAATACCCTGCTAAATATAAGAAGAACTATTCACCTACTAAATCACCGGATAAGTATTATGTTAAACCAAAAAAGAAATATCACAAGCAAACTAATCACTTTAAGAAGTTAAAATTTACCCAAGATATTACTTGTTACAATGGTGGAAAAAAGGATCATTATTCTAATAAATGTAAAGTTAAAGAAAAACTTAAGAATAAACTTAATCAACTATAAATTACTAAAGAATATCAAAGTCAAATATTCGACATATTTAAACTAGCTAATACCCCAAATCAATCTCTCGTTCATTCTAGTCTATCATCCAGTGACACCACTCCCTTAAGTGATACTTCTACTTGTTACTCTCTGTGAGAATATTGACGGAGAGATTGAATTATGATGTAATGATACTTGTTGTAAACAAATCAATGTTTTTAGTAAATCACAACAAGAAGAAGATTCTTTAATAGAATTAATTAGCAAATTAGAAAATTCTAAATTAAAAAGAAAATACACTAATAAGTTAAAATCTTTACTAATAAATATAGACAAAAAACCTCATCAAGATAAACCAATTATTAGTTTCACAACTACTTTAGAAAGATTCCGAAAACATAAACATAAAGAAATTACTTTACAAGATTTACAAAATGAGATTAACCAAATTAAACTAACCATTCAAAAGTTAAAAGTTAAAGACAAATCATTAGAAGAAGAAATTGCAATGTTAAAAATCAATAAAAATCTTAATGATTTCCAAAATAATAATGATACTTCTTCTGATATTAGGCTATCATGATAATTAATAAATCATGCATCTCTTAAGCATAAAAGAACAGAAGTATTTTTACCTTGTTGAGTTAATGGTTTGATTCCAACTTGAATTAATCTTAGATGAATAAAATTATGACCATCTTTAATATGTTTTTTAATTGACTCTTTAGATAATAACTGGCAAGTTTCTCTAATTTTAGTTAAAACATAAACTTGTTCAACAGTTTTGACCTGTAAATCTACATTAAATGTTGATTATAAAAAATTGGTTTTATAGATTTTTTTAATCCTTACTTTAGGGATATTCCAACTTAAATCAAGTTTAACATTTTGAAATTCATGTTCTTCTTCGTTAATAAGTAAATTGTTATCAGGTATAGGAGCTAATGTTATAGATTTAGAGCTAACTGAAGAGTTGCTTCTAAATAATTGACTCATATTTCTATATTTATAAAAGATTGTCAGAAATCTGAATTCTGAATTAACTTATCATATTTTCACTTATAATGTGTTCACTCATATCCTTTCCGAGAACCCCTATTTCCGTTAACTGCCTAAACCTAAGGACTTACACAGGATGCAGGACGAAAGATGGATAGCTATTGACAGAGTGTAAAAGAGATGATAAGGTTAAATAGAATAAAGATAACTGGAATCAATTACGAAGATAGATTAGAGAAGACCGATTCAGAAATAAGAATAATCAACTTGGCTCTGATACCAAAGAGAGGTGGAAGCAGCATATAGATAAAACAAGTTAAAACAACTAAATTAAAGTATAACTAAATTAAAATAGGATATTCATAAATAAAATAGATAAGCAGAAATAGCAATACAAAATAAACTTACAATCGTTTACTAGAAGTAACTGGAAAATACATAATTGTTTACTGGAAGAATTGGAAAATACAGCTTCAGCATGCATCCTTAAAAATTAAATTTTAAGGCAACAAACTAGAAATTTTACAGAAACTGAGAGAAATTGCGAAAGAAAATTGTAGCTCTTTCCAACTCTGAGTTTGCCTTGACTGAAGGGCTTCTTTTATAAGCAAAGTGGATAACTGTTAGGCTTGTGAGTTAGGAACTGTGAGGCCTGTGACTGGAATTGTGAGGCTTGTGACTTCAAGAGATGGAAAATACTGTGAAACTTGTGATTTCAAAAGTTGGAAAATAAAAGGCACATGGGTGCTGAGGGCATATCGAGAACTTTTTTTTTTTTTTTTTTTTGTGTGCAGTGAGGAAACATGACTGCACAGTTGACTGATAAGGAATCAATATATATATATATATATATATCAACAGTTTTTCTCAAAATAAGAGTAGTGATTGAAGCTGATGTATATATATGGAATCCAATGACTTTTTTAAGCATATGGGTCCTGAGCATTTTGGAATTGTGGACCATATGGATCATGACTGGTTGAGGCTTCAAAGGAGGCTGAATCATCTGAGGCTTCATCTTCAATTTGTGACTTTGCTTGGGTCATCAATAATTTGGCCATTTGGATCAATTCATCACTAGAAGTTGACTTAGGCTTTGCTTTGGGCTTGGCCTTGGAAGACTTGGATATGGAAGGTTCAATGCTGGTTGATGGGCTTCCAAATCTGACTGTAGTGAGAGGAAATGGGCTTCCTTGTGTGACTGAAGTATTTGGGTTTTGCTGAGATTTGACCATTGCAGGAGTAGGGGCATAAATCTTAATTGAAAATTCTTGCTGGACTTGTTTAATAATACGATGGACTTTGAATGCATCCCACCATTTAACAAAATATTGCCGACTGACTATGTTATTGGATAGACTGTATTGCCATTTAAAAATCCAAGGGACTTTATATTTGGACATAAAATGGAGTAACCAAGGAAACTGACTTTTATACTAGCTGAGCTTGTAAATTGAAGAGAAGTAATTGACTTATTCTATTAATTCAGAAAAAATGATTTCTGGGATGGCACCATGCTGTGACCACCATCTCAGGAGCCAAGAAGGGAATTCTGATTTGAATTTGTGGTCAAATGAGAAAAACCAAGAATGATTATATGACTCATTTTGATGTTGGAGGATTTTGAACCAAGCATCAATGTAATCATAGTAACTATATTGTATATCACGGTTGGGAAGGTCTCGTAGAAGAAAATGGAGACTCCATTCTTCCATGGAAACAATATTATGCATGTACAAGGAATGATAAATGATTTTACTGGTCTGGACTCAATCATAGATAGGTTTAATGACTATTGATTTATGGTGGAAAAGAATATCCTTATAAAAGGTTATTGACTTATCAAAATGGGAAGGAATGGAACGCCTTCCATTAGGGAAATATGATTTGACTAATTCAAGAACATTGTGGATATTTTTATGGGTTGGTTCTTTATAAAAAAAAGGTTGAATGACTATTTAAGAATATAATCTGTTCTTGGGGTAGACTTGTTAGGTGGCATTGGCGTAATTGACTGGCAGGCAAAAGGGTCTGAAGCCAAAGCCGAAGTGTAACTAGGTTTAGGAATATTACCAAGAATTTGGTATCGATTGACTAGATCAATTGGAAGTGCAACAATGGGTTGATTGGTTGGCATAATGGCAAGAGGTTTTGTAGTAGATTTGTGGCTTGACATCTGTAATAAAAATGACAGAAATAGATTAGCATCCACTGATGACATCTAATCTATCCATATGAAAGTTAACTAGATTAGTGTAATGAGCAATGAAATTGCGATAACTTTTAATCTGATTGAATTGAAGGTAAGGGTCTTGATGAAGGTAAGGATCATTTTGTAGTGACTTTAAATAGGATATTTTAAACTTATAATAACGAATAATTTTGCGATATCTTGTGACTTGTAATCTGTTTGTAGAACAATAAGGAGTAGGCATGATGCACTATCTTCCCTGTAAAAATTCTCGGATAAGGAAATCAATGATAGAATTCTGACTACTAGGAATATATTCAATATCAAAATAAAAATACTTAAAATGAATTGTCATCGAGCAAAAATATGTTTACTAGCAATATTTTGAACATATTTTTTCAAAACATATTTAGCACTTTTGCAATCAACACGTAATAGGAATTTTTGATTTAAAATGTCATCTTGAAATTTACTAATACATAAAACAATAGATAAAATTTCATTTTTAATAGTATAATAATTTTTCTGTACTTTGTTCCAAACACCAAAATAAAAACGAACAATTTGTTCAGATGACTGGGGAGTGATTTTTTGAAGGAGAATGACACCATAACCAACATCAGAAGCATCAGTCTGAATAATTTTGAATGAATTTTTAGTAGGAATGCCAAGACAAGGCAAGGTGTCTTGACATATTTTTTGATTTGTTGAACAATAGCAGTATGAGTAGACGACCAAGGAGGAGGATTATCTTTCAACCTATCAAAAAGGGGTTGACAAGTTTTCCTAAGGTCATTGTAAAATTCAGCAATGTAATTTAAGAAACCTAAAAACCGTTGAAACTGGATTTTGTCT